ACGGATATAACGAAGTGATGTTTCTACAGGAACCAGGGGTGGAGGAAGGCTCTCCTGTCAGACTGGAGGGCTCACACGGTGAGGTAAAGGAACTTCGGATTAAAGTATTTTTGTCTATATTCATCATGGGTCTCACCTTTTGACCATCAAATTTATGAACACATATTTCAAGGCCTCCTTTATAATTAATTAGGGATAAAAAAAACAGTTGAAATCATCTCAATGGGTAACTATAGGACAGTACCACCCAAAAATATTGTTTAAAGTTGGACCACCGATACAAAAATATGCATGAATGAAATAAATGTAACCTAGGTAAAATAAATTATGAATGAACAACAAAATATAAAATAAAGTTTGGATTTATTTGTTATTGGCTATGGTAGGTTAAGTTGGTTATCGATCATATACTTATTTGATATTAAAATGTAAACCCATCTTTTTCATATGGGCGTTTTAAGAAGTTGTACGTCTGCTGGTCAATTGTGCTCAAAGTGCACCAGCATTGAAGCATTTTACTTTAAAATGTTCAAAAAAAGTCTCCCGGGGGGGGGGGAACCCCTGGACCCCCTCCTAGAGGAATGTGACGTCCACCCCCCAATTCAAACATGTTCATACAATACTGAATACATTTGAACGTATATACCCTTGTCCAATAAGTTTTCTGTTTTTGTGTGTCCTTTTGTAGAGATTTTCATTTATTCTTTATAAATAAAATCTCGCCTAGTGGGCTGTAAATTGTCCTAGAACCCGGCCCTGGTACTAGGCCTCAAGACCTTACTTATGTGCTGGCAGACACATAGAAACAATTGGTGAGGGCGCACTTCGCACCAGTGCGAACACACTAAAATATTCCACGTGCCCCGCGCTCAATTATGCTGGGCCACCGTGCCTTAGCACCCTTCTAGACTCCATCCTGGGGGGGGAAACGCTGCCTAGTGGAAACCTCAGCATTACCTTAATTCTTTCAGTATTATCGTATTCTTCTCAGATGATTGGTTTAAATACAAGTTATTCGAGCAAGAGCTGGGATGACTAGATCATTAATTAACAAAAAAGGTAAATTGCTGTTGATAATGATGATTGGTTATAATTCGGACCATTTTTATATTAATCATTTAAGTAATGTTTTATGGGAAAATGCCCCGAAAATATTGAATGCTTATTAATGGCTTTATATCATATTAAACGTGAATATCTTTGGGTTATTGAACGGAAAAAACAATGAGAAACTGGAAGGAGATTTTTAACTAATTCAGACAAATTTACAGAATTGTTATAGAACAATGAATCATTTAATTTGTAAGATAAAACTTTATTGTAAGCAAATTAACTATATAATTTCATTTAATCTAAAATGTATCTACGAAAGAATGTCCCATTAATACATAATTGAAAAATAACATTAGTTCAGGTCCTAATTTACCAACTTATTTGTTATTTGAAAAACCAATGTCTGACCTGGTTCTGTTTTTAAAAAAAAAAACATAATCAGATTATAAATTGGTTAAATGGCGCTTGTTCCCTCCCCTACCATCAGATTTAAGGCTCTACAGTGACATAGTTATAGGCGCTCTCACACATCTATAATCTGGGCTCAGAGAGCGGCTTGGGCCGTGTTCTGTTCTCCAGGCTGAAGCAGCCACTCCACTGGGCATTACTTTGAGGCCTGCCTGTCACCTTTCTTAAAAGAAAACGTCTCTCCTGTGCCCTCTTTGTTCCCCCTGTCCCCAGCCTGCTTTTCTTTCATGTGTCTGATGCTTCTCTCCCTTCTCTCTTTCCTTCTCTTCTTCTTTGGCTCCATACCTGTCCGCAATCTTTCCTCCAATCCCTTCATCAACTTCTCTCTTAATCTCTTGCCCTAGATCCCTCCCTCCTCTATCTCCCTCGAGCATTTGTCCTTAATTCTCACATGTCTGCCTCTGAGTACGGCTCTAACCCATCCCCTCCATTACTTTAAATGTCCAACCATCCTCTGTGTGGGCTGGAAATATTATCATTCCTCCATTTTCTATCCATCATTCTTTCTGCCCTCCTCTATCCATCACCTGTCAGAAATGATTGAGCACTGACACTCCCCCCTCCAGTCTCCCTTTAAGTGGCGACTTTACTTGCGTTATGTAGGCTACAGTATGTTGTCTGGCGGCACTTCCACCCAGCCACCACCCACTCTGTTCTCTTGTTTTGTCACTGTTTAAGTGCACACCAGGCCGGTGACATTCTGCTAATTTCTGGAGGAGACATAATAAACGTCGATTTGACCCAGAGAGTAGCTAGCATGAAAAAAAGAGTCAAATTTGCTTCCCCGTATAATCCCCCATCTCTCTTTCCCTTTTTTGTGTCGTTAATCTTTTGTTCCTCCTTCCCTGTCGGGCATCCATTTTTAATCTTTTTTTCCCCATGCGCTGTTTTAGGTTCCTTTAACATTGCCGTCTGATGTGACACATCCTTTGTTGGCGGTGTCCTTGTAAAAAACTCTTTGTGAGGCAACAAAACTGATAGAGACATTATACACATTCTTTAGCCTTTTTTATGAATTTTCTCCTAATAATTTACATTCAAAGTAACTTTCACACTGTTTGTTTACTCTCCTTTTTGTTATCTGCGCTTGTCAGTCGGCTGAGTTCCCGGGAATTTCAGTTGTGCAGTGGCGGGCCCCTGATCCTTCGCTGGAGTAGCACGACTCGGGCAGCGCCCATTTGATGCGGAACCGAGGCCGGCTGCGTTAATCACGTACGGGGCGGGCCCCTCCAGAGTTACCGTGGTCAGGTGAGAGACAAAACTGGCTCAACCATACAGCTTTAAAATAACAGAGTTCTCAAATCACGCTTCTCGCGTTACATTAATCTACCACTGAAGATTTCCAACTTTCCAGAAAATTATCTTGGATTAAAACACGCAAAAATACTTCTTTTATAGCCATCTACAATTTTCTGTAGAATTCTCTGTTAGCGGCAGGCTCAAATAGACCACCCATTCTGGAATGTGATCATCTTCGCAATTTTAAATACAGTACAGAAATATTCTAACTTTCATATTCTAAAGGTCACATGTCATGGCCCATTTCCACTGATCTAATTCCATTGTTGAGGTAATACTAAATAAGAAAATACTGTGCATTTTTCCAAACCTCCACATTGTGTTTCGCATACAGCATCCTCTGTAAAGTAATGTGTATTCAGCAGTATTCACTTTGCTCGCAGCTAAACGCTCCCGCTGCAGCTCCTCCCCCCCCCCCACAAGCCGTGTTTCCCTTGTTTAGGCGATACAGCAGGCCAAACACAAGCCCAACTCCCCACCTGAAACACACACCCAAAGTCACAGCCGAAATAAAAACAATAAGTGTGGCTGATATTGAGTAACTGAAAAAGGTTTATAGGTTGAATAAACACTGTGAGAATGGGTTCCTGCAGAGAGAATTTTGCGGCGGATCCCAACTGTCTGTTATCAGCCCTGCAGCCAGGGAAGGCCAGAAAATCAGCCAGGGCGCCTGCACTGGTGTGTGTGTGGATTGGCCATTTGGACCAAAATCAACCGAGCGGGTGCTTAACCGTGCAACGGTCCTCCGCCGCGGACGTAAGCGTACAGCGGCTCCACGGATTGGCCCATTTTAGTTCCGGGTAATAGCGTGGGCTTTTTCGTAAGCACGTAGCGCCGGAAGAAAATCGAATGGATGATGACGCCATGATGACGTGTCACCAACGAGGCGTTTTGGGGAGGTAATTTTCTGTTTTAAGAGTTTTAGCTGCGCTACAGGGTGTACTTTGAGGTTTTGACTCTGGACGAACCGTTAGCATGCAGAAAAAACCTTCATAACACACAGGGAGACGGGTAATAACCGCAAACATGACATGTGGACCTTTAAGGATAGATGTGGCAGGGCGAGCCACCCCCTTCAGGATGAATCAAGAATCGCGCTTCGCAATACTAAAACAAACCACGGACTTGACTGCCCCCAGTCTTCATTTAAATGTTGTTATTGACTTTAAACAATCGTATTTGCTTCCGCTAAGAAAATAAAACTCCTTTTTCCCCACGGCGCTCCAACGGTTGGAACTCCGACAACAATTAATCTTAAGAAAACGAAGGCAGGTCTGATTAATGTTTTTCTGTGACTTGTCCATAGTCTGTTCACAGTTGCCTGTTCCACTAAACAAGTCCTTAAACAGCTACAAGAGCGCAACCACCGTGTCCTGTTAGTGTTGACCTTCTGTCTCTCTGGCTTTCCTTGATTTATCGCACGCAGTTGCTAGCGTATTTTTCCAACTGCCTTTTCGCTTTCCTCTCTCTTGATCCTCCTTAGCAATGGTCATTAGTGCTGAACAGCAGTGCCTGAATACCTGTTTATATTAAGCGCTCTGAAATGTCCAACCCATTGACGCCAATCAAGAAAAATCGAGTATTATCAACTAAGCCATGTAATATATAGCTAAAAGAAATGCACCATGGAGGGCTGCCCAGGGCTCGTCTATAATTGGGCCAAATTCATTAGGCATCCACTCCCCCAAATGTTATTAAGTTCTCTTGACCCATGCTACTCCTCATAAAATGTCTTTATGCATGAGGAAGAAAGATGGGACAGGCAGTGTTTCCCTACATTGTCCTTGGAGGGGGCCCGCTGGCTGTTTTTATTTTTATTAATTTTCTTTTTTTTTATATATAAATACGTACGCATGATACCTATATATATAATACGGACCAAAATTGCAACTAATCTAATCATCATAACTGTCAGCTTCCACATTGAAGCAATGTGGTCCGTTTTATTAAATAAACTAAATGCTTTTGTTTTAAAGTTGTGAAGTTTAGTGTTTTGACCCTAAGAACACTGATGCATTAATCAATAACAATAATCTACAGCTCCTCTCTCTGCTCCAGAGAATTACAAAAAATATATATCCCCCCCACCCCCCCCCGCGCTCAGGCAGCACTCCCCCAAAGCAATCAACCTAGGGGAAACACTGGACAGTTGTTTTTCACAATCTTACACAATCTTCTTTGCACCTAATTCTTCACATCTTACTCTCTAATTGAAATGTGAACTGATTTGTTAATTTACATTAAAACTGACATGCCTCTTGTAATATGAAACATTAATTGCGTAAGGGTCCTTGCTGCTGATTGGCTTGTCAGCCTGTGGGAACACCTGCCCAACAACTTCCCTTATCGTCTCCTTCCAAAATTCATAAGAATGAAACAGATATCCAGAGTATGGAAGACAACTAGAGAATGCAATTCCTGAAGAAATTGCTACTGGGAATGCTTTATGCTGAAAAGCTGACGCTGAATTGCTATGCTGAAATGTAATGTGTAAGAAGAAAGTGAAGAATTTAGATTGAAATGATACATTAACACTGGGGGCTTGAATGTGTGATGAGAGAAGAAAAGAAAGTAAAAAGGCTTGGAAAAGCAGCAGAATATTTGAACTGCAAACTTTTGAACTAACTTGATCGCGAATGATCTGTCGCCATGCCAACGGCATTTGATGACATCCCATAATACGCTTAGATGAGTTGATGGCTGCATCGTTACCAAACCTGTGAAGTTTTGATCACCCTCTCACTCTTCTACCACCCTCTCTCTCTTCTCTTGATCGCCCTCTCTCTCTTCTCTTGATCACCCTCTCAATCTTCTATCGCCCTCTCTCTCTTCTGTTGATCGCCCTCTCTCTCTCTTCTCTTGATCACCCTCTCACTCTTCTATCACCCTCTCTCTCTTCTCTTGATCGCCCTGACATCATCGTGTTCCATGACACAGGTGTTTATATTTGAGCTAACGAGGTGTCCAGAGATCAAATGTTTCCATTGTTCTGAATGAGAGATAAACCTGTTACATGTGAACGTTTTGTTGAAGAACCGTAACGGATATCGATGAAATTTCAAAGCGTGAAATCGCCGATCCGATCACGTGGGCGGGGCCTAAATGGAAGATTTAAACACCACTTTAAATCTTCCATTTAAAGTGATGTTTAAAACTCAGTTAATTGGCTCATTCACTTGAGCTTCCACAAACAACAATCAACTTAATTATTACATTCAAATGATGTACATTATTCAAGTTTACATTCACTTTGAATAATAACACGGGAGAAATTAGTAGAAGCGCTCTCTTTTCCTCTCTCCCTCTCTCTCTCCCTCTCTCTCTCCCCCTCTCTGCTTCTCCTGACAGTATCACATGCAGCTCACTGATCCAGTAACTAATGAGTGACCCGACAGTGAAGAATAAATATATTTATAACTAGTTTAGCTTGTTCCAGTGGTAGATAAAATAGCTAAGTGTGTTAGATCTAACTCTTGTGTGTTTCGCTCCGCTCACCGGTCCGGAGGGCAGAGCTGCAGGATTTCTGCTACACACAGACACGCATACGTTGCATACCGCTATTTTACTGTCTTTTTCGGACACCTTAAAATAATGCCAGACTGGTGAAGCCATTTTGGCGAGCTTGTTTTGCTGCGCACAGAGAAAAGTGTCATGTATTTTACGTCATGCGATCGGCTCTCGCAATCGGCTCTCGTAATCGGCTCTCGCAATCGGCATGTTAAGAGAGCACCGATCGATCGGTAGAGAGCGAGTATCGGCCGATCTCGATCGGTGACCGATCGTTCGGAGCATCCCTAATCTGAAGTGTGCTTTTTGTGTACTTTCGGGTCAATACTGTGGCCTTTTTGGCAGATTAACTAAAGGTGTGATGCTGTGAGGAAATATCAGCCTGAAATTACAATGGGCTTTAATGGAGAAATGTGGAAAGTTTTTGTCACTTCATGGCATTTTGTTTAATTACTTTTGCTTGATTATTTGTCATTTTTCAAGCTACAAGATGTTTTCCTACGTTTGTCATGAATAATTATGTGTCAGGAATGTAGGGTTTGGGAATTATGGCAGTTTAAAAAAATATATATGAAGGCAAATTTCAAGATTTCCTACACTCTAGCTGTGACATCAGGCACTCTAGTTAATGTTAAAATCTGAAGAAAGCCTCTTTATCAAGGTCTGAACAATGAAAGAATTTTGTGCGCAGAAGAACAGATAGACAACTATCTGTTAGCTGTTAACTGTTAACAGCTGTTAACAGCATTCCAACTAAATAAGAAAGAGGAAGTAAAAAATGAAACATGTACTGTACATTTGTGACATAAAACGTCTCTCTTCTTCCTGTGTATTTCTGTAGATAAGTTCCCACACAGACAGGAGCGTTGCTTTAAGAGTCTGTGCACATGCAATATGTCGGAGAGAGCACACAGCCCCAAAGAGTGGGAACTTACATTTCGACTGTTCATCTTTCTCTTCAATTGCCATTTCAACCTTACTTGATGCTTACACTTTCAGGTCTCCTATGTTTACCTTCAAACTGTTATCAAGAAATGTTGTCCTGATGCTTACAGTGTTTACACTTTAGCCAAAACTTCACCTATCATCTTCTTCAGTTTATACACTTAAACCCCAGCACTTTGCCTCATACTGCAGCTCCTTTCACTGCTTCCCCTTAACCTTCCTGCACCAAAACCTATTTCAGTACTGCCATTGTTTTCAGAATTTGAAACAGACTTCAGCTACAACTTGAACTGTTTCAGTAATTTACATAATTTAAACGTTTTAACTGCATAGTTTCATTAGGCACACGTAAATTCATCCTTATCTCGCATGCCCCCTTATCTGCTTTACCATCTGATTCAAATGCATCTACTATACCCCAACCTTTTAAAGGACATTGCACCCATTTATGGTAAGACTTGATGCTTTATGCTTGTCTATATGTAAACGCTAGCGATTCCTCTCTTTGCAATTGCCCTACTGGCCAATCCAAATACACATCTTGATTATTAGATGAATGAGATCTGAATTTGTGCTTGCGGACCTGCGTGTAGGTGCTTCTCCTCGTGGCTGCCCATACCGTCCCTTTTTTAATTTAGCATTATTTAATGTGGCATTATTTCAGAGATTTCCCATTTCACTCTGTATGATTGCGGCTGTCACAGCCTCGGTGCGCTCACACTCCAACACACGGGAGGAGATTGTGCGAGTGTGTGTTGAATCTTGATCAGACGACTTGCCGTGACTTCTGCGTGACCAGGGATGTTTGAAAATGATGATTTACTATTCTATTACAGGCAGATAAATGGTGTTAGCTGCTTTTGAAGCCACCAGGGTGTGTGTATGTATGTGTGTGTGGGGAGGTAATTAAAATGTGAGATATTTGCTCTGGATTTACTCTGAAAATGCTGGCTTGTTTTTAGAGATTCATTTTCAGAATGGATCTTCTATCACCCCTCTTCATGTGACTGCATTTCAATATTTTCACATAAACACTTTGAATTACAATTTCAGCATCATGGCAGAGCCTCAACAGCCATATTTCTTACTCTCTCTTTTCGAGCCCCATGCCAATATTTCTGTACGTGTGCTCACAAACACACAAACGCTTTACTGCGGCATAAACAGCTAAACGTCTTAAATATGCGTTTGCTTTCCCTGTTTCTTTTCTCCACCCACTTTCTCCTTCTCTCCGCACAGTTTATATTGCAGGGAAACTTTTCCCCAATGAGATATGTCCACATAAATTACATGACATCTCCTCTAATACAAATCTAATTTAGATTGCGCACTTAAATTAGATTATATATTTTGCAATGTCTCATTTGAAATTGCATCCGGGATTTGAAATTGCTCTGTCATCTTGGCTAAAACTGCTTTGTCGCAGCATTTACACTTTGCACATGGGTGTTCATGTTCTGATTGTTTATGTGCCAGAGTTAAATTATTGTCGACTTGTCATGTGACTATCCTCTCTCTCCCTCCGTCCCTTTCTTATTTTTATTTTTCTCTTTCAGTGTGGGAACCAATCAGAACTTCCAAGAGAACCACAGCTTCAGTTTCTCCTCTCACTACTCCCACGGAATCACCTCGGCTATTTACCACCCTGGACACCGGTATGTTTGTTGCCAACAATCCTTCACCCTCAGTCCTTGTAGCATTTTTATTTTTTTTAAAGGGGCCCTATTATGCTTTTTGGGTTTTCCCTTTCTTGGATGTGTTTTTTATAAGCTTTTATAAAACACATCCAAGCCTGTAACGCCTCGACTGGATTCCTTTGTTTACTTTTGCAACATGGGGACATTGCTATGTATCACTTGCGCTTCTATTGGCTAGCGCTCCAATACATTGTACGTGATAGGCTAAGGGGCAGGACATCCCTAAGCGGTTGATCAATCACAACAGAGCCAGCCAGCTAACCAATCAGAGCAGACATGGCTCAAACAAAGGGTAAAAAGAGGTGCTGCAGCTTGTGAAAAAAAATAAAACACTTTTTGAACATTAAAGCATTTAAACATGTCACAGTTGAGGCACAAAATGCTAATATTACATCTGAAAATGAGCCCCTTTTGCATTTTTGTCTATATTTCCCTTTTGAATCCATCAATGACAGCGTAATGAATGCCTGTAGCCTTAACTCGACACCATTAGTGAATTTATTTTCTCTTGTGGCCTCCTCATTTGGAGCCCACTTCTATTACAACAGTGTTTCATCAAGAGTGTTGTTCATACATTTACATTCAAGCATCTAGATTTGGGAGGGATGAAACCCTCTTTTAATGGTCACACATGCAGAGCACACAGCACACACAGTGAAATTTGGCCTCTGCATTTAACCCATCGTAGCACCAGGAGTCTAGTATTGGGAGCAGTGGGCAGCTATTGTACAGCGCCCGGTTGTCTGCAGACATCCTTATAAATCCTTTGAATCAACACTCATCCCTTAAACCCGTTGCAGATGATGATAAATCGTAAATATGTAGTATATTGATCGCCGTGCTACAACTTAGCGGGATTTTACTGCATTGCAGTTAACTTTTTACTGAAGCTTTATTTTTTCTATAAAAAAAGTTGCTTGTGCAGTTAAAACTAACAGCAACACATAATGAAATATGTACTCTGAATATCAGTTTGTAACATCGGAAAAGGAAGTAGAAATACAAGGATCTTATGCAGACATTATTGCCCAAGCATAAGATGTTACATTATGGAATAGTGCCAATTGGCTTACTCGGGAATAAATGAGCCAATCACTTTAATGCAATACCTGCAGGAATCAACTATAGCCATCTAAAATGCCCTTGGCCCTCCAATCCACGTAGCATTCAAAGTTTCGGGTTAATTATGTCTGGCTCACACCCGCGACCTCACTGTTTTCACAACGCTCTCCCGGTCTGCGCTAACCAGATTTAGTTTGGCCGGTGAAGCTTGGTTTGGCAGCTTAATGGATTTTGGCAGCTACTGTCAAGTGTTTGCCAGCTGATAGATGAGATGAAACTTTAATGATCCCTGCGTAAAAACTGGGTCAGCAACAGAGAGAATAGGATAGAAGTAAGGGAAAAGGCGAGGTGAGAAGCTGAAAAATAATATGAAAAAATGATTTCCACAGCTGAATACTGAATAATAATAAATATATAACTTATTAAAGCTCGAGCAGTAGCTATACAACAGTGACAGTTTTAAATTCCGTGATGCACAGATGGCATTATAAATACTCATAAATGTTTCCAGATGTGCATTTAAACACTGATCTTTTCATTATCAGAGGTTATGTGTCTGCAGATGTGCCAATGGATTTGACAAGTGATTGAACATCTGTTTAAGGAACACCTTAGTATACATACAAAGTGGCTTGTATCATGAGCTACTATCTTAACATAAAAATGAGTCTGCTATCAGTTGATAAACTCATGCTCAGCTTTTGTTTCTTACGAAACATTTACCTTCTCTGCACCAGGGGGCAGTGTTGAGCTGGAAAGCACTGTTTTCCCCCTGAGTTCCTGACCACCATAGCATTTTTAACTGCAAACACAGACTCACAGATCACTGTGGTCATTGCGGTATTGTTCCTGCCATAAAAACATTGATTCCAACCATCCTTTTACTTCTCATGAATAACTTTTTAATCCACAGTTTAGCTAAATGGCTACAGTAGTGGGGGAAACTCTACAGATATACCTGGCTTAAACCCAGGCTGAAGGATGACCTCACAGTGACCAAATTAATTAGCTGTCCTTGTTATGCAAAGATAATTAATCCGTCAGGGGCACAATCTTGGAGGTGATAGCAATGAGTGTGTGTGTGTATTTGTGTGTTGGTCAGATTGCTGCTGGTGGGAGGCTGTGAGTCGGGGGATGATTGCACGTCCAAGGCCTCCTGCTATGGGATAACAGCCTGGAGGACTCTGTCTGGCTCGCCACACTACAAGCAGGTCACTAGCTACGAGGACGATGTCAGTGCGGTGAGGACACCACACACACACACACACACTTTGTGAACAGAACACAACTTTCAATGTCAGTGAAGGAACTATTAGAGTCAGAGCCNATAGTTGCATTTAAGCATTTTAACCGTGTCAGTGTACGTGTGTGGGTGTCGAAGGCATTATCAGTGGTATAATGGCAATAGGTGGAATTAGGGCGACACATTTATGTGTCGCCCTAATTCCACCTATTGCCATTATACCACTGATAATGCCTTCGACACCCACACACGTACACTGACACGGTTAAAATGCTTAAATGCAACTATCGCACTAAGACGTAGAGAAAGGATATGTATACAGCAAGTGCAAATTCTTCCTAAATTCATCCCCCTGATACCACCTATTGCTGTTCTATCACTGATAATGCCTTCGACACCCACACATGTACACTGACACGGTTAAAATGCTTAAATTGAGCTTCCTTACCAAGATGTTGAGAAAGTATATGCAACAAGTGCAAAAGGTTGAATCAAACCAAGTCCAAATTCATCCTAAATTCGTCACCCTGATTCCACCTTTTGCCATTTTACTACTCCTAATGCCTTCGACACCCACACATGCACTAACTTTAATATTTATCGAGAACTGGTTGAAATGCTTAAATGCAACTATCGTACCAATATGTGGAGAAAGTATATGTAACAGTAGCAAGTGCAAAAGGTTGAATCAAACCAAGTTCAAATTCTTCCTAAATTCTTCACCCTTACCACCTTTTGCCATCTTACCACTGATAATGCCTTCGACACCTACGCAGGTGCACTGACTGTAATACTTCTCCAGAACCAGTTAAATGCTAAAGTTGCAGCTTCCTAACCAAGACCTAGAGAAAAGTTCATGTTACAGTACAGCAAGGGCATAGGATTTAATCAAAATGTTTGCCCACAGCAGTCAGATTGGAGAGTAAAGGTTATAAAAACTGTCAGGATTCTCATAACGGTGACATTGACCTCATCTTCCTGACGCCATGGTGGGAAATCAGATTGGACAATGGAGCGAGAGTAGAGCCGACTACTCTCTGTTAATAATTCATCTATCGCTCCCAGGTGGGACTTAATCCGAGACACTGAAAGGTGTCTTTGGACCTGAATAGGTTTCATTCTCATCTGAATTAATTCTCCTTGAGCATTGTCCTGTTGTACGGTTCTTGAGAGGGACTCAGGGGATGAGGACTTTTTAAAATGCTTCAGGAATTCAATGTGCTTCAACATTGAGCTGATGATAGTATTGTATCCTGCGTTGCCATTGAGCTGCGTGTTACCAGATGACTTAATAGACACGGCTTTAACTCAATCGACCTCTCCTGGCTGTCAGGTAGACGGCCATTGACAAGCTTAACAATGCACTGCTGCAACACTGATTAATTTTTGTAATCAGTTTGTCTTTTCAAATGTCTCGGAAAGCTCTTGAGGAAAGAAAATAATAACAATGCCGAAAGCAAAAGCAATTATAAGAGATTGAAGCAATTAACGGTTGTTTTTTGCTAGCTGTGTATTTGTATAGGGTTAGGGTTAGTCTGTCTACCCCAACGGTCCAGTTTTCAAATTTGACCACCCATCTACAGCCTCACTCTCCAAATAAAGTAAACACATTTTTTTTTGTTTAATAGAAGTGCTATAGTCCTGTCTTCAAGTATTTGTTAAAATCCCAGAAGCTGCGTTTTTTAGACATAGTTGTTAACCCTGATTACAGCGAGTTAGAATAATGTACCCGAGCAGATTTCAAAGCATTTATGACCTGCTAGAGATCAGGTCGAGAGTGAATAGAAGGGATTTTGAAATGCAGGATCTGTACACCGGTGGCCAAGGTGTCATCGTTAAATTGGGATGACTTTGGAGAAGCAACAATAGTTGTTTTTATTGAGCTTGAGAACTTTTTGGGGACATCCAGCACTTTATTTCAACATCATAGTAACCTATTGTTCCATGGTTTTTGTTCAGACATACATTCCTCATCATATTGATACTGAATATTGAATTAGTGATATATATATCCCAGTGGCTGCATATATAGACACAAGGATGGAGCCTTGGGGAAAGAATGACCACTAGGAAAAAAAAGATATAGATAAATAAGATTTAAACTAGGGTGCGTTCACACCTACCTTGTATAGTCCGGTTGAATCGAACCCTGGTGCGTTTAGCCGCTTGGTGCGGTTCGTTTGGGTCGCTGTGAACACAGTCCGAGACCTCTGAAGTGAACTAAACAACCGGACTCTGGTCCGCTAAAAGAGGTGGTCTCGGAGCGCTTGCTTGCGAACTCTGGAGCGGTTCATTGCTGGTGTGAACGCAGTCCGCACCAAAACATAGGAAGCGCAGTATTTACGTGTCACAAGAACGCGGATGATCTTTAGCGAAAGAGTCTTTCAAGACATCCGCGGTTGTTTAGTTAAAGAGTGAAGCAGAATGAAGTGTTGAACAGTGTCGTAACTCGTAACAGTAAAAATGCTCCGTCAACTATAAAAGTCAGAGCCACCTGTTGTCTGTGAAACGCCTCTCCTGACTGCAGAACGTCTCATTATATGTGTTATAATGTTTTTTAACGGACGTTGTCTGATTATATAATCATATGCGCGGGCCGCTAGTGTCTGTTGATCTCCAGATTAACAGCAGCATGAGAACAACCTGCCGAAAGTGCCGATGCTCCATGGCGGAGGCTCCGGTAGAAATTGTCGGGATTTGCGTTTTTACCCCCTTAATGTCTGACCAATGGTTGAACAGCATTTCCGTGCACATGACTTGTGTTTAAAGTTTATAGTCCGTTTGAGTTTTGCCCAACGCAAACCGAACCTTCTGAAAAATGAAACAACGTAACAAACTGTCGTCTGGTGCGCAGCTGAAAACGGACTATTAGGACATCTTCCAAGTTTTTAATGCAAAGTTCCCATTTACCTTTGTCTTTGATATGAAACTATATATTTTTGGAAGTCATCTTCGGATCCGGGAACCTGTGTCCATTTTAATCTATAATCAGCGTTTTGAGCACCAGGAAAAGCGCTTTATAAATGTAATGTATTATTATTATTATAATCTGACAATTTAGGCAAAAATCTTGTTATCCAAAGGAACATATACTTTAATATTTAGACATTATATGGGGTTAAGTATCTTTGGGTGTGGGATCGATCTCGTGACTCTGTGATTTTCACATCAGGGCACACCCAAGCTACAGCTGCTATTATTGATCAGACTACTAAAGAGTAATGGTTTGTTGCAGCCAAAGACTTTCTTATTTGTCGAGTCAATGGTCCCTCAAAAATGTGACAATGACATCAAACAGAAAGAAGAAAACATTCACTTTTGGAAGTCTTGAATTCATCGAAAGCCAAAATTGGTGAAAGACTCAACTTTAATTAAATACTTAATGGAAGATGGCCCTTTTAAAACATGTTATGGTTTCTTGCTCGGATCATAAGTCTGGCTCATAGTCATTCCCAGCGTCTTCAATATGACTCAGTCACCAGGATTTGTGTGCTGATTCAATATTGTGAGAGCATAGTGCTTGTGTCGCCGTCATTTATCAGACACAAAGAGCCGGATGAGAAGCAATTCCCTTCCTTCGCCACCTGATGTTGTCTCTCAGGATCCGCAATTTTGGCAGATAAGTGTCCTTATCCGGTGACAGGGTCCCTCCTTGAGGTTAACAATCCCTCTTATTCTGTTGTGCCATCCAGAAGCCATAATATCTCCCCGGACACAAACACAGAGAAGATGAAGCAAGCCTTCTCCATGACCATTCATCTCCTCTTCCTCTGATCTTCTTTAGCGCAGGACGAGCTGAATAACAATTCTCTTTGACAACCGTTTCCAACAATTTCCCCCTCTTTTACTTCTGACACCAATATGTTTGAATATCCATATTGTGGATTTAAGTTTATGGGCCATTCAATTTATTTATTCAAAGGGAGAGGAGAATAAAGTCAGTTTCTTACGCTTTTGTTATCCCAAATTGTCACTATGCCTCTCGGAAACCTTTATAGATTAGCTTTTTATTAGCAACCCCCCACTTTAAATGTTCTTTTATCGACTCAGTTGTCTTGTGTCTTCTCTGTCAGAGAGAAACCATTATTAATTTGATTTGTATTATCATACATTTTACCTCCTTGTGTCTATTAACCTGATAAAATGTTATATTTTGCCTTTTTAAAGTTCTTAACACAGCGGTTCCCAACCTCTTGGCCGCGGCCCCCTAGTGGTCCGTGGAGGCATTGCAAGTGGGCCGCCAAATAATTTACAATTAAAAAAAGTGGTGTTTGGGGTGGTCAACCCAAAACTATGAGTATTAATTAATTTTTACAAGTATATTTACGTAACGGTAACGGTCTCTGTCGGATAATAATTTCCGCATTTTTTCACCCCTACAAGCTGAAGTCTGTGTTCGCCGGCGGTCACTCGATATTTACTTTAAAAGGGTTTGAGGATGGACGGATGGTTTTAGATCGGAGTTGGGTCGTTTGAGTCACGAGCGGACCGCGGGGAGGATTAACTGCTACACCCAAAAATTTCGAGGACGCGGTTAAGTGACCCCCTCGGTTTGTGACCGGCAAGTATTAAAATGCTTCGTAGTCTAAAATTATTATTACGGGTTAAGTAATCATGTTCTGGGTTCGTTAGAGAAAGTAGTCGGACTTATCTCGCTTACGGTGACCCCGAACTTCGGTCCAGCCCACCACACTCCTCCGCCCACCCCCCCCCCCCCCATTTGTCGTTCACGTGAAAAAAATACCGCATTACACCGACGTACGGCCACGGACAAGTCGCTTAATGACCTAGTCTTTACTTCATATTTATTATTCCGAACATAAATACTATCGTGAAAAGAATGTGTGTAACCGTAGAGTTTCACGAAATGTTTTACTGTGTATGTGTTCTAATTTTTTGTTTGTTCTTTAAGGGGAGTCTAATAAACAATTTTGTCGCCAAGGGTTGAAAAAAGTAGAGTACTGGTGAATTCTTAGATTTTTTACAAGCGTCG